CCACGAGCCAGAACCTGGCCCCCTCGAAAAGGTTTCAGGGAGCAATGGCCGTGGAAAAACCCACGTGGTTGGGGGGTTTTCCTTATTTGCCATCGACCGGGGTTAGGCACCCAGAAAGATAGGCATAACAAAACAAACCCCCACATAATAAGAAAAGTACAACTAAAAACTGAAAAGAGATGCAGAACTCCCTCCAATCCCAAGGAAACAAGGAAACAAGCAAACATCACACTCCACTTCCGAGCCACTTGTCTGCGCAGCCAGCCCTCCCCTCCCCGCGCCAGCTACCCAGCATTCCAGTTTGGAAGCTAAGCATCAAAATGCGAAAAACCGCTGACCGGTGGGAGAGAGGGTTGCCAGGGAGCCTCTGGGGCTCACCCAGAAAATGGCATTTCATTACATTTAACGCTTCTTTTCTGTGGGGAGCCCCTTCGGCTCCCTGGAGCTACATAACCAAAGATAAAGAAAAAGAGGGACTTACTCGGGAGGCAGTCGTCACACACTTCTCAACACGAAGTTGAGACAACTGGCTGCAACCCGCGACCCAGAGCAACACAGGAACGCCCAGGAGCAGGGCGTTCCTCCCACGCTGTCAGGCGGGAATTTATGACTACATAAACAAGTTTGGCAGAAAGAAACTGAAAATGGCTGCCTCCAAAGCAAAGAGACAACCGAAACTCCTACATAACTATATAAGAAGGGAAAATGACAGTGAAAAAGATATACATTTAATTTACAATAAATTTAGCAATAAACCAAGTGACCAGGTAATAAAAGGAGATGCCAGTATTCAAAAAATGATAAAGAAATTTGTGAGGAGCACAATGCCAGCTTCTATGGAGTGTTTACTACTGAGCCTGAACAGCTTCCTGAGCTAGACGAGGAAGCAACCCCTGACAAGAAACTACTAAATATTGAGGTAACAGAGAAGGAAGTAAGAATACAACTAGCATCACTAGATGTAACAAAAGCTACTGGGCCAGACAGAGTATCACCATAGATGTTACAAGAAACAGCACAAGGCCTCAGTGTACCTCTAGCACTAATCTTAATTGACTCACTCACACAGGGTGGCAATCAACATGAAAAGAGATACAGAGGAGGAACCTAACTACAGACCAGTGTTATTCACAAGCATCCCTTGCAAAGTACTTGAAAGAGTTATAAGGTTAAGACTAGTTGCACAACTAGAAAGAATTAGGTTTGTAAGTAAACAACAATACGAGGTCAGTGAGGTGAATATCAGGATATATTAAGGCATGAATACTTCAATGTATGTTCATAAAACAATAATTCAGCCAGAGGGCAACAATGAATTTTCCCTTATTCTGTATGATGATGACGTAGTGTTTGACAACTGTAGGCTCTACACACTATCTCCTAATGTTGTTTTCTTTGATGATGAATTACTGTTAAGAATTTTTTTTGTGAAATTTAATATCTATTCTTATCTTGGTGTTACTCTACATTACATATAATTATCAGGTATATGTGGATTTAAGCAGGTATAAACAATATTTTCAGGTCAAGCGTTATTACCCCTCTTCACGCATCCTTTACTTTTATCTCCTCGCTTCACACCCTCATCACCTTTTCTTGTAGCTTAACTCCAAAATCAAAGACTTCCTAATGTTCATGACGACCAAACCTAACATCAGAAAATGGAAAAATGACGGCGTTTCAGTCCATCCTGGGCCATTATCAAGTAGTGTTCTCAAATCTTAGCACGACATGATAATGGTCCAGGATCATTATCATAACCAAAACATCGCCTTTTCAATTTTCTGATACGTGGTTTGGTCACCATATCTTCGGCCACGTGTTTGTGACTCATCGTCTGCATATGTTTATGACTTAGTAATTACACACTGTATCTAGAAATGGTCAAATAAGTGTTTTTAATTTGTAATACTGTACAGAAAATCAATAAAAGTACATTTTCCTCAAGTACTGCTACTTCCAAATATGTATGTAATTGCAAATAAAAAGATATAAAAATATATACCTGGTAAATATACAACCTCCTCTTACATTTCACATAATTATAGTCATACATATTATTTAGAATATCACAGATGATAAGCAATGTAATTAAAACAATTACGTTACTTAGATGCTGGAAGACTGCATTAAGATATTATTTCCTATCTTCTGAAGAAGAAAATGACAAAACATTAAGTTCTATGATATTTACGTTTTATCACACTATCAGACTACAACACAGCAGTAAAAGCTCAATGACTTTACAGTGAGCAGCCTAAATATCATACAGAAGATCGATACAAATGTGCCAAACCCATCAGTTAAAGAGTGATTCATAAAAAAAATTAAAGAACAATACTGAACTATAACAATATACTTGTCCATTTCATTTTTACCAGTCATACCAACCATAAAGCTAGATTAAACAAATGTTATAGTTATCATATATATTATATATATATAGATATATATATATATATATACATGCATATATAAATATATATATACATATATATGTTGTACCTAGTAGCCAGAATGTCGTACTTGGCCAACTAAGAAAGGCCCGATTTGCCTAATAAGCCAAGTTTTCCTGAATTTATATATTTTTCCCATTTTTTTCTTATGAAATGATAAATCTGTACATTTCATTATGTATAAGTTAATTTGTTTAAATATGAGTTAAAATATATGACCGAACGTAGATATATGACCGAACCTAACCAACCCTACCTAACCTAACCTATCTTAACCTAACCTAGTACAACTAAGTCATTAATTTGGGCTCTTAATATAATATAATAATAATAATTCAAATAAAGTAATTGGAAACATTTTATTGAAAATAAAGAAAATCACTCGGCCTATTAGGCAAATCGGGCCCTGCATAGTAGGCCGAGAAGTGTGTTCTGGCTACTAGGTACGACATATACATACATACATACATTATATATAATATATATATATATTACATTGAAAGACATTTTTAATTAGATTTTATTTAAGCATTTAAGTGGTTAGTTTTTCTTTCTTTTTTTTCAACGAGTAATTTAGGCTGGAATCACTTTGGCTGAAATAACTACACTTTGTTTTACTAGCAAAAAAACAGTTGAATGTAATGAAATGAAATTTTCCGGGTGAGACCCAGAGGCTCCCTGGAACTATCCAGGCTGGCATGGATATATTAGACTTTGGCATCAGTCAATGTGAATGGAGTTTTAGGCCTACCGGGGACCACAAGCCAGAACCTGGCCCCCCTCAGAGAGGCACGTGGAGCAATGGACTATAAAAACCCCTGTGTAGTTGGAAGCATTCTATGTCTGCCCACTGGTCAAATCCATACACATCGACTGAGGGAACAGTCTCGAATGCCACCGTCGCCACCCCGAAAGGGGCATCCCCCAAGACTGCCCGAGTCTCGAAACCAACTAAACCCTGCCCCAACTCCAAAACCCTCAGATGTTTCGGAGCCGGAAGCAGGGGGGAGGGGAAAATACCAGGACGAACCACAGCAGGGAAAGGATGAGGGGGCGCAGACTGAACCAAAGTCTGGGTCCCTATAACTAAAACAGGGCAGCCTTGGGGCTTCCGGGTCAGAAACCAACCTTGTGCGCTGCAGCAACCTAAAACGAGCGTGGAACACCTGAGCTTCCATCACCTGAATAGTCATCAGCAGACTGGATGTACAGAGTCACAAACAAGCAACATAACTCACAGGACTCCAGGTCAAAGGTGTCCCCAACCCAACAGGCAGTATGACTGAGGCATTAACGGTGAAGCTCACCAGGAGACAAGGGGCCCGAGCAACCCTCCAACTCGCACAAGGCGAGGGGGGGGGACCACAGGCGTCACATCCATCGGACTCACACGCCCCCGAGAGGATTCCCAGGAGTCTTATGACGGAACTCACGCTCAGGGAAGCCCAGGCAGGGTACTGCTAACCAGCTCCCAATATTACTAACAAAACTACTAAAACTGTTTCCCACGGGACATGTACACTCATGGGGGCCTAGCAGGGGGACACCAAAATACACGAGGACGAGACCAAACCAAATGGCAGACCCCCACCAGGCAAGAAAACAAAAACAAAAGAAAACTCCGCAAGAGGACAACGTACCCAGGCAGAACAGAGCCTGGCCGCTTTGAGAGGTGACAACTAGCTCCACAGTACTCTATGCCCCAACCAGTGCAAACTACTCCTACCCAAAGGCAAACAAGGATGCATAAAATACCCCAGCACACTAAGGGCGGTCAATCACCGGGCAGCAAAAGTCCAAGCAGAGGTAGATCCCAAGGTGGATCTACCTTATGGAAGGTGGTACCAAGCCCCAGGGCAGTACTTACAAGGCACCTGGGAAAGGAGACCCTAGGTATATGCAGCCCGAGTACCTGTGAAATTATTCCTGGCTCTCACACCACTAGAGAAACAGCACCACACCACAAGGCACAGTGCCGGAAGACAGGAAAACAGGAGCCAGAGTTACACGACAGTTGCCAATCACATCAGCTAAAGAACTAAGGTGTGGATAGCCAGCGTGAGGGTCTGGGGCTCCCCCCTTCCTCCTCCCGGGGAGGGGGGAGCTGTACAGACAGCGGTGCAATGACGTCATGCTCGTTTTCGTTTGGGCAGTTCTGTCCACTAGTTTGACTTTAAATTAAATTAAAGTAGAAATTTCTTAACCAGAATGGGATTTGTTTTGGGGTGCTTACCTTTCTGGGTGACTGAGTCCGATGGCAGACATAGAATGCTTCCAACCACATGGGGGGGTTTCTATAGGCCACTGCTCCTTGTGCCTCTCAGAGGGTGGGGGGGGGGAGGCAGGTTCTGGCTTGTGGCTCCTGGTATGTCTAGAACTCAATTCACATTGACTGATGCCAAAATCTAATATATCCGTATCAGCCTAGATGGTTCCATGGAGTCAAAGTGGCTTCCCCCCAGAAATATTCCCAATACAGTATGTATATAAAAGAACTTTAGTGTAATATCTATCATAATCCAATATATGAGTTTTTTTACTTACGTGGACACACAATCGGAGGGGTTTGAACTGACGGACGGAGGGTCACCCATGCCACCATCATGCATTTGGCACATTGGCTGTGGAGTGTTGGGATAAGAATCCATTGACCCTGCACCTGACCATCTGAAAATAGCACATGCAAATAATTTAAATCTACATACACAAAGATATACATATTGATTTCCAATATGCTTCTCTTTTTATGTCAAATTATTGTTTAACACTGCTTACAAAAGCTCCAATAAACACTGGGAAAGATTTCTACATCGAATACCCAGGAGTTACAAGTATATTTGTTTGCAACCACAGCATTTACATTCCATTCAGCATTTATTTCACAGCATTTATTTGGAAGGAGGGGTAGGTGAGGAAGGGGGATGGGAACTATCAGGAGAAAGTGCCAAGTCATTACGACTTTAAAGCCCTTGGAAGGGGTCAGGACAATGATTTGTGATTGGATGGGGGTAAGGAATGGTGCACAACCACTTGGACAGTCGGGAATTGGACGCCAACCTGCATGAAGCAAGACTGTCGCTCTACCGCCCAGCCCAAGTGATTAGGTGGAGTAGGTGGGGGAGTAATAAACTTGCAAGGCCCTGGCTCGTGGTCCCCGGTGGGCCCACAGAACTCCATACACATGACTGATTCCAAAGTCTGACATTAGCATATCAACTTGGATAGCTCCGGGGAGCCGACGGGGCACCCTCAGAAAAAAATTAGTTAGTAGTTAGTAACAGTTGAGAGGCGAGCCGAAAGAGCAGAGCTAAGCCCTCACAAGCATAACTAGGTAATTACAACTAGGTGAATACCAGACGAAGGCCCGGAACCCAGCGCCTCCACAGCCTCCTCGAGCCAATCTGAAAACAGCTCAAGGAGAGAAAAGAAACGCAAGACCAAAGTCAAATGCCCACGGGCACCAAAGTCCTTAGCCACCAAGGATGCCAAAAGAGCAGGAACCTGCATGTGAAGCTGTATCTGATCGACATCTCAAGGAGGAACAGGGGTGAACAAGCATGCATCGAGGTGCTCAAATTCGCCTCCCAGGTATACCTGAACCACCGTAGTAGTTTCCTGCCACTCAAGCACGTGGATCCGACAGAACGCATGCCACAACCCCAACGAAAAGAAAGGGCAGTCTGCCAACCAGAAAGACTCTGGCACATCATAACGTACCCAGTAAGGAAAAGAGGAACCAAACTCAAATGAAGAAGGATCCATTATGGAGGCAAAATCTGGGTCTTACAGGAGGTACGATGCAAAAGCCTCCCAAACCACCTTAGGCGGGATGCTGGAAGCCGAAAACCTCTGGAAAATGGGAACCGAGGAACCCAAGGGAACCCGGAACCAAACCCGGGGAGGAGCCAAACTCATATCAAACTCGTACAGGGAAGGGGGAAAAAACCCCACCCCCTGCAACAACAAGTCCCGCACCGAGGGTACTAACACCCAAGCGGGGTCAAACGAGGCCCAAGCCCCCAAGTCAACTCTTCCCCAGCCTCAGGATCCTCCACGTCAGGACCCAGGGCAGAGCTGTCCTCCAAACCCTCCACCTCTGGAGAAAAGGCATAGTCCACCAGAAAAGCAGGGAAGAAGGGGATCCTCTGGTCCAACCAAAAAGCCCCGGCAGGAGGAACTGACTTGAATGCCTGTGCTGCCAAACTGAAAGGGGCAGCCCTCGAAACCGGTTTTTTTCAAGTTACGCTGTGATCATTTAGACAAAGTTGGAGCATTTGCCTAGTTGATTATGCCAAAAAAAAATTGGAAAGTGTTTGTGCAATTTTTAAAAACTCATCTTAAATTATTTTTTGTCAAATCATATATGTATGTATTGCGCAGTCTAAGGGTTAAGCTGAGAAAACAAAGGTGTCAAAAAAAATTTGAAAGTTTTCTTTTGCAAACAGAGTGGTAGACGGTTGGAACAAGTTAGGTGAGAAGGTGGTGAAGGCCAAAACTGTTAGTAGTTTTAAAGTGTTATATGACTAAGAGTATTGGGAAGACAGGACACCACAAACATAGCTCTAGCTCTCATCCTGTAACTACACTTAGGTAATTACAGTTAAGTAATTACAGTTAAGTAATTACAAACACAATTATATTTAGGTAAAGTACAATAATATTTATATTAAGGATGAAGTGTTAACAAAAGAGTAAAAACATTATCATGAGGATATACTCAAATATTTCAAACAGAAAATTGCAGAGTAAAATTTGACATAAGAAGAAAAATGTTTAAATAAATGAAAAGAATGATGCAGTTATTTATTTCATGCTTGCATGAAAAACTTTGCATGTTATAACTTACCCTGGGACGTGAGTGATCAGATGAGGTTTAACATAGCCGTTAACTGATGGTTGCTGTTCTGCCATAGGTGTGTAGTACTTCCCAAATGCTTGCTCCTTAGGTATGTTAGGGTACAAGAAGAGCAGATACTTTAGATCAGCAATCACATCAGCAAGAGGACGGATAGCAAAGGCTTTACTTGTGAATGGTTGAAGCATGAACACATCGCGCTGATCACCAGCTGAGGATAAAAATTCAAAAGAGCAATTTGAAAGGAGAGAATTTTATGTCCTCAATCTATGCAGGTCTTACCAGCATCTTGGCCTAAAGTAACACAACTACACCATCCCTTCACTTGACCAAATCCATCTAAACTGAACCTAAATTAAACTATACAAATTCTGGATCACATCAACCCCACATGTACAAGTTGAGCCCATGTAGAGATGGGTTGCATGAATAGAACACACACTGGAATGCTCAGAAGGTCTCTTACCTATCTTCAACAAAGTTGCATGCAGAACATAAATCCCTTAAAATAATATAAATACTTTTTAACATGCTGCCTAATCTACAGTAATAAGTGATAGTGACATTGACCCACCAATCTCTCCTCCCTATGCATCACCCACATTCTACTATACAGTATAATCAAACATGCAAGGTAACTCCATCATTCAAGCAAACAAAAAAAAAAAAAAAAAAAACAGCGTTGAATGTAATGAAACACCATTTTTCTGGGTGAGCCCCAGAGGCTCCCTGGAGCTAATCGGGCTAATGTATGTTATATTAGACCGGGACATTAGCTAAGGAGTTCAGACCTACCAGGGACAAGCGCCAGAATCTGGCCCCTTCAGAGAGGTTTCAGGGAGCAATGACCCTGGAAAACCCCCTTGTGGTTGGGGTTTTCCTTATCTGCCATCTACTGGGGTTATGCACCCAGAAAGGTAGGCATAACAAAACAAACCCCACATGGTAAAAAACTAAAACAAAAAAACGAACAGAGAGGTAGAAACTCCCTACAATCCCAAGTAAACAAGCAAACATTATACTTTACTGCCGCACCAATCGTCCGCGCAGCCCTCCCTGCCCCGAGAGGGGCGAGGGGGGAACCCCGAACCTACCGTGCCGGCTGCCTAGCTTCAGTTCGGAAGCTAAGCTTCAACCACCGCGAAAAAAACGCCGACCGGTGGGGAGGGAGGGTTGCCAGGTAGTCTCCGGGGCTCACCCAGAAAATGGCGTTTCATTACATTCAACGCTGGTTTTCTGTGGGGAGCTCCTACGGCTCCCTGGAGCTTCATACCCAAAGAGAAGGAAAAGAAAGGGCTAACCCGGGAGGCAGCCGCCACAAACTCCGCAACGCGAAGCTGAGACAACAGGTTGCAACCTGCAACCCAAGGCAACAAGAACGCACAGGAGCAGACGCGCATAAAGAATGGGCGGCCAAGAACCTGTGTGACCCTCGAATCCCTGCACCCGAAATGAGCCCTAGATGTCACCAACACAGCAGCAAAAGCTGCAAACGTCCGAACAGTACTGGTCACAAAAAACAGCCAATAGGCAAGGCATTCGTGATCACACCAAGCGAGGGCATAGGTAAACATCAAGGCACTGAACCCCGAAAAACTGAACTATCATTTTGGTTTGGTTACTTTTCTGGGTGCTTTCCTGGTGGTGACATATATGAATAAACTTAATATGTAAAGTTTTCATAGGCCATCGCTCCCTGTACCTCTCTGATTGGGAGGGATGGGGGGGGCTCATGGTCCCCAGTAAGCCAATAGAACTCTGTGACTGATGGCACCTGATAGTATGGCACTGATCAGTATATGATGGCTTCAGGGAGCTGAAAGGCTTCCCCCAGAAAATATACTAAAATAAAAAATCTATGATTATAAATACATAATACTATAATTTAAATTGAATAGGATTGAGTCACTATTATGCTCTTAAAATTCATGACTTTAGTCCTTGAGGAGGACAACCTTATACTTCAAAGCCCGAAAAGTACAAAATAGTACCTGATCTTGTTCGTCAGTAAATATATGCTGCTTGAATGTTTCCCTTCTTCAACTCGTTATCAGCTGAGAATCAGTTTCTTATAAAATAATTCTAATAATAAAATAACAAAACCCTAGTATTGAATGTAATGAAACACTATGAACAAATCCACAAGGGCCGCGACGAGGGTTCGAACCTACGTCTGAGAGCATCCCAAACGCTGCCTTAATCGACTTAGTTATGACATGGATAAGAATAAGATGTTATTCGACATAGATAAAAGGTTCGAACCCTCGTCATGGCCCTTGTAGATTTTTTCCTTTGATGCATCACTATTGTGATTTCTGTGTGTAATGAAACACTTCTTTCTGTTAAGAGCCTTGGTAGCTCCCTGTAACTATTTCACTGAGATTGCTCTAATCTACTAGTCACATCAGTTGCATCTCATCATATAGCCTACTAGGGACCAGAGCCAAAACCCAGCCCCTTCACATGAGGAGCATGTGAGCAAACAACATTTCATCAGGAAAGCCTCCAGAAAGACAGCAAAGCAAAGCTGTGTTCACAAGCGTCAAAATTGCTAAAATGCCAAATAACTCCCCAAACAATACAAAAGAACAAAAGAAAACACACAAACCTAGCCAGAACCTGAAAGTACTGAATGCTGCCACCAGGTGGGCCAGTGCTCAGTCCAGTACCAGCTATGAAATGACTTCAGAAGATAAACACAGCAATGAACCAATGAACATATAAGGGAGGGAGGAAGACAGGAAGACAGAGAGCCATCAGGACTCTAGCAGAAAGAGGCGTTTCATTACACTCAATGCTGGGTTTCAGTGGAAGACCCTTGGTGGATCCCTGTAAGTAATTAGAGAAAAAATAGAGAAAAATTAGAGGGACATACTAGAGATGAGGAGAGGCAGCAGGCACTAAGTCAAAGTAGAGACATACCAGCTGGGAAATATGACCCAGAGCAACACAGGACCGAAGAGGACCAAGGACAATGCTATATACCTGGCCGCCGTCATGTTCAGACATCACGGAAGATGCCAGAAGTAAATAAGGCAGTTGACTGCTGCAAAGAGCACCCCACAATGGCATGAAATGTGATGGCAGCTTCTTTTCACTCAAGGAAAAATAGTTTCCACTTACTAAGGAAAATAACATATACCAGCCAAGACCTCACACCATAACCAAGAAAAATTTGTCATGGTAATTTATGGAAGTAAATTGGTAAATAAATCGGCAGTTCCCATGGCGCAATGGTAAAGCACTCGCCCGGCACTTCGCGAGTGCTTTGGCCTGGGTTTGTATCCTGGCCAGGGAGATAAGACTGAGTGCCAATCCCTAACTGTAGCCTCTGTTCACCCAGCAGTGAATAACTATCAGGTTGTTAAGTGATTTGGTGGGTCGTGTTCGAGGGAAAGATTTGGATTAAGGACCTGACCAAAACGCTATGTGTACTAGTGGCTTTACAAAAATGTAAGAACTCTTGTATATAGATAAATAAAAAATAAAAAATAAACAAGACGAGACACTGTAAACCTGCACACGAGGCAACTATCGTTGGTATAGAGAAATCCAGCTCATACTTGGATGGAGAAGAAAACTGTTAGTTTTATGTAACAAAGCATAAAATCCAGGAAACAAACTCTAAAAAGGGTCAAAAGATCATCAAGTCATTCCTCCAGCAACCACAAATCTCTATGAACTGCACCTTTCAAATAAGCAAAGGGACCAAGAATGGAGCCTACAGGCTTCCCAGAGCCCTTACCTAGATCTTACAGAGGGTCATGGGAGTTCTTTTTCTCCCTGAGCCCAGCCTGTGGCCAGGCTCAATTGTGATAACTTGGTCCAACAGGCTGTTGCTTGCAGCTGCCCGTAGGCCCACATATCCACTACAGCCCAGTTGGTCCAGTACTTCTTGCAAGAATTTACCTAACTGATTCTCGAAGAAGCCCTGGTACATGGATGAACGAATAGACATCAATTGGGAAAAATCGACCTCCAACCGCATCACATCTCTAGAGTTTGAACAGAAGTTCAAACCCCTGAACAGCTGGACCCTGAACAACAACCTCTAGCAGTTCTAGAGGGGCCCCTGAACAGCTCTAGCAACTCCAAACCTGACGGTACCTTTGGGTCTGCAGTCCATAGTCACTTAAAAGCCCAAACCAAGGACAGAAGATACCTTTGCAGAAACTTGAGCCAAATATTAAAAACACGCAAAATCCATCAATTAGAACCGAGGGATCAGCAGCAGTGACACCCACCACAGACAGAGGTCACAAGAGCCACTAAAACAAAGCATGACTTTGCAGACTGATAAACCACCACCTGAACAGGCAGCACACCCAAACACACCTGAGAGTGAAATCAATCATACACTCAAGTGGCTAAATGACAAAGAGGTAGAAAGAATGACCATCGGTCTTCAAACACTGAAATGCATCCATCTTGGATACATTAAATCTGCTGCTTAGATCACCACTTAAATCTGGCAAGTGCGCCACATGTGAGAGAAGCATGGTGGAAAAACAAACTCCAAACCCAACCCAAAACACCAAGCAGGGAAAAGCGTAAGCAGCCCCAAAAATTAGCAAACACCTACATGATCCAAATGCACCTTCTGTAAAAGCACTATGCCCTCATATGCATCAGGAGCAGGGCAAAGCATGATCTGCAGTGTGAAACACCTAACAACTAGTTTTTACATTCCTCACAAACAGGCCTCATCTTTCTGTGTGACACTAAGTGATGGTCTAAGTGATGGTTTAACATCCCACAGATTATTTCCAACTTTCAATTGATGACAGTCAGTCTGTCCTTAAGAAATAAGAACAAATGGGTGAGAAGCATTATTGATGACCAATCTTGTGAGGCATCTCCACACTGCCTGTGTGTTATAGTAATGGCTTCTTTTCAGGCTTCTCAAGATGTAGCCCAAGAAAAACCATTTTCACTTACACCTTATTGCTCTTATTTTGAGACGTGGTCAAGGTCTTCTTGGCAATATGGACTGTGTCTTCAGTTTGATGGCAGACTTTTATCACTCATCTCTTAGCAGTCAAAGTTAAACTCCCTGAAACTATGTAACAAGGGCTGTAGTTCTAAGCGGCTACATGAAAGGGAAAAGGTAGGCAAGGGAGCCGGTCGGGTGAGAGGATAGCACGCTGGACACGTGATCCTGTGGTCCCGGGTTCAATCCCGGGCGCCGGTGAGAAACAATGGGCAGAGTTTCTTTCACCCTATGCCCCTGTTACCTAGCAATAAAATAGGTGCCTGGGAGTTACTCAGCTGTCACGGGCTGCTTCCTGGGGGTGGAGGCCTGGTCAAGGACCGGGCCGTGGGGACACTAAAGCCCCGAAATCATCTCAAGATAACCTCAAGAAGCCACAAGTGTGAACATCTGTCTGCTACCTACAGTAATTTGCCAACGTTATGACGGCCAGTGCTGATATCAAAGCTCTAGAGTTGCTTGGATTCTTAAGTAACTACAAGTTTAATGCCCTTGCAGTTTCTTGTGGATCCACACACCACAGTCAATCCTACACTTTGTTAGCTATTTTACTACCATTTTACACATTTGTGTTAGGGGTGCAATTATGTGACTTAATTATAATATAAGGCTTTAAGTGAACAGTGCATACTGTCTACGAGACATACCTTCCTCAGCAAGCACACTATTGTTCACATGCCTTTCTCTCTTCTCTCCATATTTCTCCTGTGCTTCAGGATTACATGTTGAATCAAACAGAATGTGGCTAGGCTTGGCCACATTCTGGAAACTGTTTAAGTAGTAACTTTAGTAACTGAAAACTATTTGAGGTTAGTGATACAACCCGGTGGCAGTCAGGGAAAGTGGACGAGTGGTGTTATTAATAGTAAAAGTGCTACTTGGAGGTCTTTGTGATGCGAACTAGCATTTGCAAGGACTTGAGTGTATTTCAATGAACATTCTGGGAGGTCTAATCATGCTATATAATTATTTAGCACCAGTAAGATTCAGCCAAGACATTAGAAAAAAGATTCGTGCTACCCGAGTGCATAATCTTGCCATAGAGAACAACCGAGATCCTTGTTCAGAAAAGCATATACTGTACATATAAAATTTTCATATACAGTACCACTAGTCTTAAAAACAATAATTTAGATAATGAAAAGTACTTAACATACCCTTCGTGGTATCTTCATACATCCAGGCAATTGTGACACCCCCTAGCTCTGAATCAGAAAAACGCAGAAGGAAAGTGCCAGATATGGAATTTTTTAACATGTCCTCTGCTTGACGACGCCCAACAAATCCCATTATTGAACCGTCATTCCAAGGCTGGCGCAGATGTTCTCTTGTAACCTTACAGACCAAAAAAGCATGAAATTCTTTATTAGAAAAGAAAAATGACATTTATTATTTTATTTCTGGCGGGTTTGTAATGGTGGGGAAAAGATGTATATGGAGGAGGATGGAGAGAAGAAGTGAGGATTAACTAGGCACCAATCCTTAACTGATCACCTCTGAAATAAAAACCAAATACCCAGCAGTAATTGGATACTTGGTTGTAAACCGATTGACAAGTTGTGTTCCAGGTAAGACCAGTGGGTAAGGCTTACCATGAGCTATGGGAAAGGAAAGTTTCAAGCCTACTAGCAGGAGTCAGAAGTTGTTTGCTTCTGTACCCACCTGTGTAAAGAAAAAATAAACAGGGATTGGAATTGGAGATGATAAGTGAGAGGAGAGTTTGTGTGTGTGTGGGGGGAGGGGGGGGAGGTATGAACATTCAGTGAAAGAACTCTTCTCTCACAGAACATAAGAATGAAGGTAACTTCAGAAGGACTATTGGCCTATATGAGGCAGCTCTTATATATCCACCCAATCTCATTCATATATATATATCTAACCTACGCTTGAAACAATCAAGGGATCCTACTCCTATTATGTTGCATGGTAATTGGTTCCACAAATTAATAATGAATGTGGACAAAGTAAATGTAATGGAGAGAAAAGGGAACACACTGAGTGAAATTGCAGAACAAAGATGGCATAGAAATAGTAAATTTACCTGGATTCTGTAATTGACAAGAGGATTTTGTGTACAACAGGTTGAGATTAGAGCAAGTGAGGGAAGGATAAGCAATGAAAGCCCTAGTTAGGAAGAATATGATAGAAAAGAGGCAGTTAAATGACTGCCTGAAAAGGAGGTATTGATATGACCCTGACAAATCTAAGAGCTTTAGAAGTACAGAAATTAAATCCAAGAAACATTTATTGTGTTAAGATGGTACACAGAATAAGGAATGGAAATGTTATGGTAAGATATGGAGGGCAAAAGATTAAGGAGAGTTTATTGAGATAGTCTGGTCACAGAACTACTGGATAATGGATAAAATGGTTGAATGTTTGTAGGGGAAAAGGATGGCCAGGAAGACAGACAGACAGGGTGAGCCAATGAATGAAAAGTGATGGATCAAGTTTAAAAATACATAAATAATAGTACAGTAGTATTAGGGAAAATTTTGTGAGTTGGGATCGGTTAAATTACAGCTAACAGCAGACATTTTGGACCTGGTTATGAAAACAATGTGTACTGCTGTGGATGTGTTACTAGAGTATGATAGTTCTGATCATACATGATGATGTACTATATAAGTGTTGAAGATATGGCAACTAGATGGGGTCTGTTTTAACTGTTCAGTCTTCATTTTCTATTATGTTTCTTCTGGGTTAACTACTACTTACCCCAAAAAAGTGGGAAATACAGTAGTAATGATGACAATGCAAATAAATTGCATTTCCTAACCTTTTCCCCCATAATGAACCCCATAAAACACTTATTAATGATTCTGAAAAACACAATTAATAGGAATAAAAACTTCTAATGTTTCTTTGCACTGTAGACATGAATGTCAGGGCTCTGGGCACAGGCAGGGCTCTGATAAGCTACGTTACACTAAAACTATATAAATCTACCACTGATGAGTATGTTAAACTCCACAACTAGTTTATTAATGCTGTAACTTTCTTACATAATTGAATATTGGAGTTCTGTTTCGAACCATATTGGAATCATATAAGCCCATTATATGATTCTGTAACTTTTCCACCAAAACCACGCCCCAGCATAGGAGTGGTATGCATAATAAATGAACAAAATTAAAAAGATCCAATGTTTGAAAAAGCAAGCCTTCTGTGAGAAATGTGTCACGCTAAATAGCATAAAAAATAGCCAGCAAACAATTTGTGATAATACCAAGAACTTTTTATCAAGAGAAACTCCTCATATAGGTGTTGCAATACATAAAATATGGTTCCATCAAAAAAAAAAAAAAAAACTTAGTCCTAAATGGAACATTTACTACCTTCATAACAGCAAAGAACCATTCCCAGAAGGTAAAGTTACGCTCTGACAGTGGCTCCTTGCAAAACTGCGACCATGACAAGTACATATTATTGAAGTCTTGCACTTGGGGACTCCTGCAAAAAAACAACAAACAAAAAATAATAAACCAATAACTAAACAAATAAACATACAAATAAAAAACTAAAGTAAATGTCTTTGTAGGCATGAGAATGATTTATTTAAATTGAGTTCTGTACCATAATTATTACCTAAAACTTTTAAAAGAACTTTTGCCAAGATGAGAGCAAGGTCATATGGCTAACAAATTTAATTTGTGAAATTTTAATATTAATTTATTTATTTACGTCTTCTTGATTGATGCCACACATCTTGAAGTTAAGAATTCTTAACAATTTACGTAACCTATACTAACACAACACTAAAATTAACACTTAAAATTACTGTACAGTTCATTAAGCAAAGTTAGTTTTGACTGCCAGCTGCTAAAGCCTCACTGGTTGAAGGCATTTGGGTTGCCTGTGAGGCCTCACTTGTTGAAGGCGCTTGGCTTGCCTGTGACACCTCACTTGTTGAAGGCATTTGGCTTGCCTGTGGCGCCTCACTTGTTGAAAGCACTTGGCTTGCCTGTGGCGCCTCACTTGTTGAAGGCGCTTGGCTTGTTGAAGGCGCTTGGCTTGTTGAAGGCGCTTGGCTTGTTGAAGGCGCTTGGCTTGTTGAAGGCGCTTGCTTGCACCTCACTTGTTGAAGGCACTTGGCTTGCCTGTGACTCCTCACTGGTTGAACAAAACGTAACTTGTCTTTAATTGCTAGGACAACCTTCTTCCTCTTAACACCTCCAGAACGATTGATGCTGCTACCAGACATAGTCTTGGCCAAAAATGTTTAAAGTTACTATGAAAATAAAAAAAGTTATTTAAAAAAATATTTCACTAATGGCGCAGCACTGTGTATAACACGAAGGACAGACGCACATGGGTTGACCAGTGTTGGACGGGTCCACTTGGGGCAGCTATAGCACATTACGTAGGCCGCCAGGAGGAAAAAACTCACAATATTTTTGAAGGAAATTTCAGCCTGTGCACATTGCTTTTAGGAAACTTATTTATTTGTTATTACATAATTACTGTACTAGTACTGATTTCATTTGTTTTCGGCTATAATTAATTGTTCTAAAATTGATGGCAATTCCTGTACCCGGCGCGCGCATGCTTTTTGCGTGCGTGCGTGCGTGCGTGCGTGCGTATGTGTGTGAGGTGTTGTCATGCAGTGGGAGCTGGGGTATAATACCCAGTTGTCCAGTTGACAGCAAGTGCTTCACTAATGATCATTTGTGATGCCAGGGAAGACTTAGTAAGACTGAATGCTTGTTCTGACCTTTCTTGAGGTCACCAAGTTCGATAGTGCATTCTCCCGTGCTTCCTAATGCCAACTTGAAATTGTCTTTAATACAGACGATTAATCACATTAACATGGATGAAGAAATGATGAATACACCACAACTCAGATGATGGAGAAGCGATAACATTTCAGTCCGTCCTCGAATACTATCAGGTCTTTAATACAATTTAGCTCTTCTAAAAAATTTTAGATTTTATTTTATTTTATAAGATGATTTTGCAATTAATAAGTAGAGCAGGTACAAAGTTAAAATGTGAGGGGGGGGGGGGAATTAAGGATTGCCTTCATTAGCTTGACTCAAGTTAGTGAAAACCTGCATCAACATAGTATTATCAGAATACAATGGACACACTTGTCTAACCTGAAAGCCTTGCCTGCTAAGAACTTAAGGTTATCATCAGTCAGTCCTCGACCAGTGGCAGACTTAAATTTGGAATCCAACATATCTGCAATCTGGGGCCATGGTACCTGAAACACAATATAATAAATCAGAAGAGGCTTACAACTAGTATTAAACTTTTTATCTTTGGGCCAGGCAATAAGAAGTCACCCACTAAATGACCTCTTTCATTTAAAGGGAGAGAGGGATCTTGGGCCCAGCATGGCACTTTATTGAAACAAAATAAAGCATTTAAATGAAAAAAACTATCATGTTTCCTGTTATTTTCAGTTTTAACAACTTGCACATTATAAGTAAAAACACCAACCACTCACACACACAAAGAAATTAGCATTAAAAACAGAAATCAGACAAACAATTAGGAAAGAACTGGTTACAACAGTAAATTACGCAGTACAAAACACTGCAGATAGAAGTCCGTAATAATTTGCAGGTTTTTAGAAAAGGAAATTTCACCTAGGGTGAACAGAGCAACCAGAAGAGATGAAAATCATTGAGAAAATAGCAGGTTTAGGAGAAGACCTCAATTCAAAGGAAAATGTCATAAGGGTGACATTTAATAGAGTGAAACAAATAAAAAGTGCTTAGAAATGCACTTCAAATGGGATGACAGGGTTGGTCCCTCAGGTTGGATGCTTGTCATATGAAGAAAGATTGACAAAGCTTCTACATTCTCTAGAAATTTCTTGAAAAGAAATTTATTCTTCGCCCTAGAAAGGCAAAGAACTAGGGGTGACATGATAGAGGTGTACAAGTGGATGAATGGACATAACAAAGGGGATATTAATAGGGTATTAAAAGTATCAACACAAGACAGAACACGAAACAATGGGTATAAATTGGATAAGTTTAGATTTAGGAAAAACTTGGGTAAACATTGGTTCGGTTGTTGATTTGTAGAACCAATTACCGCGTAACGTGGTGAAGGTGGGGTCCCTTGATTGTTTCAAATGTGGGTGGTTTTCAAAACCACCTAGGGGTGGTTTTGAACAGTAAGCAAAACCACCCCTAGGTCCCATTCTTTATTAGAGTTCTGTAATTCCTTTCCACATACAGAAATTTGTAAGTTGTGTGTGGTCTATTTTCTCCGATTCTACATTCCATAACATGGCATTTATTCACATTGAATTCCATTTGCCACTTGATACTCCAAGCACTTATTTTATCAAAATCAATTTGAAGGGCATTACAGTTGTCTGTGTCTCCTATCTTCCCCAGTATCTTGGCATTATCCGCAAACATGTTCACATAATTTTGTAATCCTTCTAGTAGATCGTTTATGTAGACGATGAACATTACTGGTGCAATAAGTGAACCCTGTGGTACTCCACTAGTAACACTCCTTTAGTCAGATACATTGTCTCTGATTACTGCCCTCATCTGTCAGTTAGAAAATTGTGATAGAGCATATGCATCACTTTCCAACTTCAGACTTGCTTTTAATTACTATATATGGTTGGTGAACTACTAAAGAAACTGTTCATGCCTTTTGTGAGACCAAAAAGTGGAATATTCAGCACTTGTATGGTGCCCAAATTTCAAGAAGCACATAAATGAACTGAAAGAGATGCAGCGGCATGCTACAAAATGGCTTCCGGAACTGAAAAACAAGAGTTACAAGGAGAAACTACAGCCAATAAACATGCCGAAACTAGAAGATAGAAGAAAAAGAGGTGATATGATCACCACTTACAAAATACTAACAGGAATTGACCAAACTGAAAAAGAGGAAATCATGAAAGCAGCAAAAAAAAGATTAGAATGTTTTCTTTTACTTAGTGGTCGACGGTTAGAACAAGCCAAGTGAGGTGGTGGAGGCCAAACCCCTCAGTAGTTTCTAAGCATTATATGACAGAGTACTAGGAAGACAGGACACCACGAGCGTAACTCTCATCCTTTAACTACATGTGTAATTACACTTAGGTAATTACACATCAAATACTCTTATCTTTTATTTCTATAAATTCATAATAAAAAGCACAATTACAAACATTACAACTCTGCAAACCTGGCACACAGAGGAACTTGTTAATATCCACAAATAAACAATCTATGTGCTACAAGACACAGGAATAACTCTAGTTCAGGTATATACAGTGACTAGTCACTGACCATCATTGTTATCTCAGGCATCTCCACCTATTACTATGCTACATACAGCTTTACATTAACAACAAGAGCATGCCACGTTACCTTCTCCGGGACTGTGAAGGGTATGCGCCCTTGTTCCGCAAAAGCATTGTCCCATGAAACTGTTGCCCACGCATGAGGCTCTTGGTTGCCGTGGACAATCACCACAACTGGTAACGACAATGTCCACACCTAAGAATAAAAATAAACCAAAAGATTAACATAAATAACACTTGCTAAAATATCAAGTTTCAAATAACATTTCAAAATATTTGTCATTTTACAACAATTTTTCTAAACATTATTGCTAGAAAAGATAACTGAGTAACAGGGTTGATTTAATTGTTTTCACTTTGAAGACACTGAGGCCCTATTTGCAGGAACCACGTTGGAAAAAAAAGGGCCCCACCTGTACAACATTCAGTGACCAAACATAATACTGGATAAACAAAGCTATTTACTACAATTAAAAGTTCTTACATCAGTAATGTATGGCCCTCTAATTTTTTAAGCTATGGTTGAAAGTAGATGGGTAAATGTGGTTTCAGTCAAATGCTTATCATACAGGTTGACCTTAAATGTGCACTTGAGGATTGCAAAACATAGTATTTATCATATTTTATCAGTATTTATCATATTTTATCAGTATTTATCATATTTTATCAAATGCATTTACATCCATACATTGTTCTTTTTGCTTAATACAGCGGTACCTCAGTTTTAGAATTTAATCTGTTCCTGGAGACGGTTCGTAACCTGAAAATTCGTAAACCGAAGCGAATTTCCCCACAAGAAATAATGGGAAATGAATTAATCCGTTCCTGACTCCCCAAAAACTTCACTTCAAAGTAAATTTTATATCTAATTCACCCAAATCTTCACTACAAAAGTATGTTCAAGTTATTACCCTTGCTGATGACTCCTGTTGGCGTATGGAAGATGGTGAAGAGGAGGAGAGGTGTTACTGTTTGGAAGGGGAGTCCTCTCCCATTATAACATCAGGCAGTGAAGTTTCTCTGGAGTGCACTCTCTGGCACATTTTGCCTGCATACCACTAGGTCCTGATTGTGGCGCACTGCTTGATTTTCTCACTTTCTCACAAGGAAACATTCCAATGAAGATTGTTTTTCCCTTCTTTGTAACACTTGTCTGTAGTGAGGCATCACATTGTCATTAAAAAGATCAATACAACGGCCTACTACAGCTTTATCTGGGTGATTCTTTTCAGCAAAACTTTGCAGTCCTTCCCATACTACACACATTTTCTTAATTAATGAGGAAGAGACACTACTGCCTCCTCTTCCTCCCCTGAAGATCTGTTGTAATGCCTAGATAGTTCAACAACACGAGTACCATTTTCATGCTTACGAATGATCTCTTGTTTTTCCTTTATGGTCATTCTCACATGTGATTTCTTGCCTTGAACCTTACCCCTGGCTTTCTTAGGACCCATGGCGAGATATATAATAACTTTTATGCTCAAATGGCCAAAAATCTGACAAAAAACTGTAAATTCTTGTGAAAAATTCAGGTGGGATAGTCACTGGGCGCAAGGCACTGGTAATCTGAGGTGCGATCGCCGTGCCACCACGTGCTAGGTCGGCCGTACTCATATCAACAAATTCGTATCCCGATTCAAATTTTCCGAACAAATCGGGCTTGTAACTCAAAAAGTTTGTAAACAGGGATGTTCGTAGCCCAAGGTACCACTGTATTTAAATTCTACCACTCAGCCTTTCATCCACCTTTACGAAATAAAATGAGTCAATGCACAGAGAAATCACCTTAACGTGATGTATCAATGTTCTTTCATTGATACATCCTGTTAATGAATTCTTTGTGCAATGAAGAGACGCATTGGAGGTAGAATTCCTATACAACAAAGCCAGAGAACATGGGGGAAATTTGTAAAACCCTGGTTTGGCTTTAGTGGAAGCCTCAGGAACCCTAGAGGCTTCAGTTAAATCTCAGGTTGCAATCCTTTTGACCATGTCGTGGTGTAGTTGTCTAAGGCATTTGCTTAGAAGTACCCAGAGCATAGGTTCAAATCCTAATCACGACTCCTGCTGATCTTATCAATAATTCAATCTTAATTTATAGTACAAACTACTAGAAAAATATAAACCATTACCCCCTTAACTACATTTAACCCTAACTTTATTAAAAATGAAAAAGTAAACAATCAGACTTACTTGGAAAACAAGTTCACCACCACCAACGCTGAACTGTGATTGGAAGAGTAAGGAGAACTTCTCATCCATAACAGACTCTGTGCCCTTCTTTTCAGCTCGTTTAATTTTGCGCAGCTGCATGTTGCGGAAACTAACAGATAGTTGTCTTGTGCCCTGAAATATACAAATTATAGTGACAATTGTTCGAATCCCTTTAAATCTATAAGAGAGCTAACAAAACACACTAATATATCATCTATACCTCATGCTTCACAATATTATGGCAAGCAAATTCCTGGTAAAAAAGCAAGTAAAATTATTTACTGGAAGAGTGCAAGAGATTTAGTGACATTCCAACCTTTCATACTGTTTTACACAAACTGTAGCATCTTGGGAAACTAATACCACAGCCCACCACCAAAACATCCCGTGATTGTCAATGATGAGAAAAACACTGAAGAACATGAGCATTATTGTGTAGTGTACAGTACAACCTCAATTCAACGTACCCCAATTCAACGAATCTCCAGCTAGTTCACACACTTTTCAGGCCGGATTTACTCACCCAGCTCGACAAACAATGGCTCGCCAAAGTGGGGGATGTTCGGATTTGCTTACGATGTCGAGACAGAGTTCACAGACTGGTGGAAAACTTTCCCATTCTATCACAGATTACAATTAGTAATTCCCTCATATGACAAGTTCGATCACACAAGTGGACCACATAAGTGGTCCACAAGTGATCCACAAGCTTACGATGTTGGGACAGAATTCACAGAGTGGTGGGAAAACTTTCCCATTCCATCACAGGTTGCAATTAATAATTCCTTCATAAGACAAGTTGGATCACACAAGTGGACCACACAACAAGTGAACCATATGAACCAAACACCAGCCAGAGTGGTCCACACAAGTGAACGACTGAGTTTCCATGATTTTCGTTCATTGATTTGTGGCACACGTATCTTTGTAAATTAATTTAAAGTCTGAAGTGTGATTAGCTAGCTACATGTGGTAATCTTCTTATAGACATTTTCTGTGACGAAACAAGGTGAGTGAGGGTGGAGAGATAAGGGAATACTGTACTGTTAACCTCACTTGGTTTTTCTTCATTTGTGTCGTCATTGTTCAATGACTCATGACTTTGAAAGTTTCAGATTAATAAATCATTTCTAAAACCAGAGTTTTAATAGCTTTTTATTATCCTAAACTAAACTAAACAAAAACAAAAATATACTGTAATATGATAGACATCTGCTATTTGAGAAATTATTTATGTTATTGGAACAACAACTTCAGCATGAGAGGGACGGGTCTAATCCTTGTACACACAGCACCATGCAAGGCCAAGAACGGCTGCTCGGAGAACCAACAATTCCGACATCTAGACAACGCCGCCTGCAGAAACTGTGTGACAGCAGCCTCCATAAACAGCAATGGAAAAAACAGAGATGAAAACCTAAGAGCCAGGGCCCAAGAAGCAAAGAACAGAGACACCGTCTCCTTCAAAATAGGCGCAAACAAGCCGCCCAGGCAAGGTGTTGCTAACCGGTTTAGACCCAAAGCTAACAAGGGGGGAGGTGAAAACACTGAAATCCTTGCGACGTGTACAATCACGGGGCCTAGCACAGAGCCTCCAAAATATTTTAAGTGGAACAATAGCCACACCAGGCTGCGCGGATGAGTGGCGTGGCAGTGTGACGTCTGCTTGTTTCCTTGGGATTGGAAAGAGTTCTACCGCTCTTTTCTGTTTTTAGTTATTTTCTTACCATGTGGGGTTTGTTTTGTTATGCCTACCTTTCTGGGTGCCTAACCTTGGTTGATAGCAGATAAAAGAAACCCCCAACCACAGGGTGGTTTTCCAGGGCCATTGCTCGCTGCAACCTCTCTGATGGGGCAAGGTTTTGGCTCGTGGTCCAAGGTAGGTCAAACTCCATAGACTAAATGCCCCAGTCTAATATATCACACATTAGTTCGATAGCTCCAGGGAGCCACAGAGCTGACCACAGAAAAGCGGTAAATTTCTGGATATATCGGACTTAATGACACTGCTGACGACTGAGAAAGACAAGCCTTAGAACATGGGACCAAAGAAACAGGATCAACCCACAAGGCATTCATCAATGCATAAGAGGTAGCAAAAAGGTAGTGAAGGGGAGTCGCTGTCACAATTCCTTCCTGTCTCCATGGAGTGGACCATCAACGTCTCCTAATTCCTGTGGCTTTGCTAATCATTCAGATGCTCCGACATGGATGTCATGGTGTCAGCATGGAATCGGCACCTTCCATTAAATGCAGTTCCATTTCCCAATCGTGAGGTACCTTGCGGGGAATGCTTTTCAGCTGGACTGGTTGTGGTTGGGGTTCTTATACCTCTTTTCCCCAATCCAGCTTTTCCACCAGATCCTGGCCAGGTTGGAGTCCTACTTAGGAAAGTGGACCTTCTGGCTCCTTGGTAACCAGCTCAGCCTTGGTTTCAAGCACTACTTACATATTCAGTAATTACATAAGTTTAGTTACAGGATGAGAACTACACTTGTGGTGTCACGTCTTCCCAGTACTCTGCCATACAATGCTTTCAAACTACTGTAATGATGGTTTTGGCCTCCACCACCACCTCACTTGGTGGAGGCCAAAGGAAAACATTTTAATATCTGCAAAAGAAAAACTTTCTAATATTTTTTTGGTATCTTTGTTTCATTAGCTTGAATCTGTCCTCTTATTCGTGAAGTTGCTGGTTTCAGGAATTCCTCCGTCAATTTGGTAGATTCATGCTGGTACTGTATTTTGTAATTTATCATATCTCCTCTTTTTCTTCTATCTTCTAGTTTTGGGATGTTTAACACCTCCAGACTCTCCTCATAACTCGTTTCTCAGTTCTTGAAGCTATTTTGTAGCATGCCGTTGCACCTTTTCCAGTTTATTTATGTTCTTCTTGAGATTTGGGCCCCGTATGACTGCCATCCATCTAATTAAAAGCAAGTCTGAAGTTGGAAAGCAACACATATGCTCCTCTCACAATGTTCTTTGTGTGTTCTCCTGGAAACAGCTTACTATTCAAAACCACCTCTAGGTCAAAGTTCTTTATTAGAGTTCTGTAATTCCTTTCCACATAATTTGTAAGTTGTGTGTGATCTACTTTCTCCGACTCCACATTCCACAACACAGCATTTATAAACATTGAATTCCATTTGCCTCTTGTCGCTCCAAACACTTATTTTATCTATATCTATTTGAAGGACATTACAATTGTCTGCATCTCCTATCTTGCACAGAATTTTAGCATCACATGTTCATAAAATTCTGTATTCCTTCTGGTAGATAATTTATGTAGACAATGAACATTACTGATGCAAGAACTGAACCCTGTGGTACTCCACTAATAACACTCCTCAAGTCAGATACATTGTCTCTGATTACTGCCCTCATCTGTCAACAAAATTTTCAGCCATGTCAGAAGTCTCCGTCACCCATCCAGCATATTCCAATTTCCTGTACAGCCTCTTGTGTGGGATTCTTATCAAAAGACTTTTTTTTTCTTCTTCTTAAAAACTAAGATGATTTGTTACACAGGATCTTCCTATTCAAAAACCAAACTGTCTGTCTGTTATTATGTCATTAATTTCAAGGTGTTCAACCCATTTAGCTTTAACTATTTTTTCTAGTGTTTTGAGTACCACACTTGTTAACGATACGGGTCTATAATTTAGAGGTTCCTCTCGACTTCCATTTTTATAAATTGGTACTATGTTTGCCTTTTTCTATATATCTTAAGATTCCTGGGCACAAGGATGTTTGGAATATTAATTGGAGTGGAATGCTAAGCTCAGTTGCACATTTTCGCAGCACCCAAGGTGAACTTGAACACACACACACACACACACACACACACACACACACACACACACACACACACACACACACACACACACACACACACACACACACACACATAGATAGGTGGGGTTATGAAGGACTTCAAGGTAAAAATACTAGAGAAGAGGGGTATGAACGTGGAAATGAATAATCTGAGATGCATTTGTGTTAAGAAGGAAGATAAAGTATGATGAAGATCCCACAGAAAGATGTAGAGTACAAGTCAGTAAGTAGTAAAAAGTGAGGAGTTTATAGTAATGGCTTCATTCAGTCACACAGGACAAATAGATGCTAACAGACTTGTTGAGGATCAGAGAAAATCTGAAGTAGGAGAGGAAAGACAAGAATATGGGCAGACATGTTGACAATAACATGTTAGAAAGTATGGATTATTTGTGAATATGATTGACTTGTATTTATCACTCATGGGAAGCACTTAACACTTGTTAGCTTGAAACATTCCGGCACTCTGAATGTCCTGGTGAAGTGTCATGGTGCTTGTTATATGAGACGGAAGATATGTTGAATAGCTTTTTTTTTTTAAGGTAATATACCTATAATTTTCTTTGCCTATTTGCTCTCCACTTTCTACCAGACAAACAAAGTAGGGAAAGAAGGTAATGATTATTATTACTTGTTTAGTTTGTTCAGGTTTGGTGGAAGATAAAATAGTTTATTTACCCTGTTGCAATAATTACCCAAGTGTAGTTACAGGATGAGAGCTACGCTCGAGGTGTCCCATCTTCGCAGTACTCTGTCATAACGCTTTGAAAGTACTCTAAGTAGTTTGTACATTGTAAGATATGAGGCCTGTTGGATTTGGTTTCCCGCTATCAAGGGACAGGAAACCTGTAATTAGGTTTAACAAGGTCCCACTAGGCCAGTTATTGACCTTCACAGGATGCAGCTCACAACAATTACTTGACCTAACTGGAAATAAAATAGCTGAAATTACCCAAGTATAAGGCAAGTAAAGCAAGTACAAGGTCAACCCACTAGAGACACGTTGTGGGAACACCAAATCCAATATCTGGCTCCACAGAGGGCTTACCTCGACCAACAGAAGACCAAGTCCCAGCCTCCAGAAAGGTAAAAAAAAAACTCAGGAATTCAAAAAATTTGAAGGAGGCCAACAGGCTGCAGCCACCAACGAGTGCAGTCATGATACAACCCCAGGAAAGAGGAGTGGAGAAAATGTGGAAGCAGATAGAAGAGCATGATGGAACCCATTGCAGACAAGCCCAAAGGACAGCCACCAGAAGAGCCACCAATGAAATAGTAAACCCAAGCATGGAGCAGCACGAGACTCACAACCAGAGAAGAAGCGGGGGCAAGCAAGTAGACATGGAGGGATGTGAAAGAAAAGACCCCAGAATTCTCAGGGGATGATCAACACCCCACACAACACAAGCATGCGTAATTGACTAAGCTGTGCCATGAATCAAGCAAAAAGGGCACACATGCCAGCCAGGAAAACACTTGAACCTCAGAATGCTCCCATAAGGCTAAAAAGACCCAAACACAAAAGCAGCAGAGTCAACAACAAGGCATAAGCCTGGTCATGCACGAGGCACAGAAAAGCACTCCACAAGCTGTTAAAGGAGGGACCCAAGAGGTAGGAGACCTCTGGAAGAAGAATCCCAACAGGCCCCAAATGCACATGGAAATGAACCCAAAGCATAGTTACACAGGAATGGTGGGGAAGGGATTCGAAAATCTTACCTCCTTGCAAAAAGGAACCCCTCAGAGGAAAACAAGGAACCACACAGATTAATCACACACTTGTGTGAGAAAATCCGTACGAGCTGTGAGGAGGATTCGAACCTTTGCGGTGGGTATTCCCACGCACGTGTCCTAATCAACTGGTCCCCGGTAGGCCTTTAGAACTCCATAGCTGATGTGACTTAGTAGATGGTAGACCATCAGTGATACTAATTTTCAGGAAGCCACTCGATGGATTATCGCATAATGTATCCAATTCGGGCCTTTTGCTATGGAGCGACAAAGTGACAAACTAAGGTTCAGGACGGTGTAAGAAAGTGTTTTGTGTAGCAGGACTGTATGGCAAAATCTGAAGACCACAACAATGAATTTAAAAGCAAGGAATTGGACTGGAAGCCATTACTAGTGCTAATTGCTGAAAAGTAACAGCTGACCTTATTTGTAATGGATACTGGCTCATCACAAATTCATTCACATCGAGCACAAGAGCTATTTTAGTATTAAATTTACCAGCAATTTTGTTATATTTTCTTCCATACACAAGGACCAGGGATAGGCAGAAAACAGCATTAATTCAAATTACAATGTGGAGGTGAAATAGTAGTGGAGCTATGAGGTGGCACTGCAGAAGCATCAGTGCAGTGATGTACTGAGTACTGCATTGTGCACAATATAATAATGATGGGATAAGAGTAGTATTGCCTTGTATTTCCTCCACAATATCACTTAAAAAACAACAACATTAAAAAATACTTGCCACAAAGAAAATGATTCTATCTTACATTCTTTTACTTCTATCACTTATCAACCCGTTCTCGCAAATTTAATAAGTCAATATTGACTTATTAAATATGTGCATAGGTGACATACTTAACATAATAGATACCCTTAAAAAGATTCATAGAAAACACCGACCTTACCTAACCTACTTAGTATGTTAAGATAAGCATCTTATTGCTTCGTAATTACAATTATTACCTAACCTATAATAGGTATAGGTTAAGTAATAATTGTAATTACGAAGCAATAAGATGCTTATCTTAAGATACTAACAAGGTTAGGTAAGGTCGGTGTTTTCTATGAATCTTTTTAAGGGTATCTATTATGTTAAGTATATCACCTATGCACGTAGTTAATAAGTCAATATTGACTTTACGAATTTGCGAGAACGGGTTGCACTTATACAACCTATATGTACATTTATTTACCATTAGGCCTACTATGCTAACAAAATGACTGGACATTCTATGGCACTTACACTCAGGTTACTTGCATCTTTATTAATTTTGTTGGAGGTTACAGAAAGTTGCATAACTGTGCAGCCCTGCCATATTTACAACAGATTCTGGAAAGGTGCAGACTACTTGATAAAAATGAAGAACATGTTGGTAATGGTGAAAAACAGAAGAGGATGAATGAAAACTCAGACAAGAACACAACATTTAATAGGTACACAAGAAAACAATGAACATGTTAAATATTACGTGTTCATCCTAGTACAACACCTACCTGATGGTATTCCATGGTGCCTGTGTTATTTAGAATTTCTCCTGACTGTTCACCTTTGTTCATCTGATCATTCTTTAATAGTGCATTGGCTTGTGCTTCACTGATGATAGATACTCGAACCTGAGGTGGCGTCATGTTGACATTAAGTTTGCCACCCACCAGCAACCGCACTGTAGCTGTAAACCGCGTGTTTGTTTTCATCACTTGTGGTGGTTGTTTCTCAATGATGAATGTGCTAAAAAGAAAGTGTTATGCAGATTTACATTTATTCCATTTTTCCCCCACAATCATTAAAAAATTATTATACTGAGTACAGTAAGAATGTTATGTTTGCCAGAAAGACAAATTTAAATTGAAACCACTAAGAAGAGAAAAGGAAAGGAAATGGTATGTATAATAATAACCATGTAAATGGTATGTTTAGTAATAAATACAGTGTACGTAGGAGGGAGCCGGTCGGCCGAGCGGACAGCACGCTGGACTGTGATTCTGTGGTCCCGGGTTCGATCCCGGGCGCCGGCGAGAAACAATGGGCAGAGTTTCTTTCACCCTATGCCCCTGTTACCTAGCAGTAAATAGGTACCTGGGTGTTGGTCAGCTGTCACGGGCTTCTTCCTGGGGGTGGAGGCCTGGTCGAGGACCGGGCCGTGGGGACACTAATAGCCCCGAAATCATCTCAAGATAACCTCAAGATAACGTAAGACAAGCAGCGGATCAAGGAGGAAGTGAAACCCCAAAAAATATTACAAACACCCTGTATAAAAACATATAACATTTAAACAATTAAAACTATTAAATAACATATAAAATTGCAAAAACTTATCCTCTATATACACATGTCTTGATGCCTCTTTCTCCATAATTATCACTTGTTTGAGAGAAGCATTCAGGCAGTCCCATCTTACCATAATCCTTCAACAACCTCCTAACATTTATGCCATCATGACACTTTTCCCCACAATTAACTTTGCCATGTAATCAGAGAATTCAGACATAATTTGTTCCATTTCCTGATCTTAGGGCAATGGTGGTGGATACCTACTATCTGGCCTGTGATTGGTGGATATCTACTGTGGCCTGGGATCAGTGGGTATATGTCTGTATTCCCTCTGGTTTGGATTATCATCTTAGTTTCAATTTGGCCTGTTCAATGCTAGTTCCCAGCCCTTCTCAATCATTGCCCTAGTCTAATGGACTCTACTGGGTTTTGCCTCTACCAGTTGATTTATGACCAGAACTTCCTCAATGGTTTAAATCTCTTCCAATTGTCATATTTAGTTTGTCATTACTGTATCGCTTCTGGGGTGGTAGGTGGCTGGCAGACATTCTGGTTTTTCTTTAGAAGCAGCCTTCAGGGCTGCAGTTTAATGCTGCTTGGTGTCCTTCTGCTATTCCTGGTCCTTCTTCATTTATCATCACTGTTGGCTGCTGTTGGGCTGCCCTTTCAGAGGTGGCTCTTCTGAACCATTAGTAGTTCCCTTATGTTGCCATTTCATGTTTAACCATAGCTGGTGTTTCCCCCCCCCCAATTTAATTTATCCTTGACACCTTTCATCCTGCTTAATCAGGCATTGTTCCCTTTTTTGGTCAGCTCATACTCCTTGTGGGCTGCTGTGGCTTGTCAGGATCCTGCAGATTTTGTCCTCAGCTGGGTTTTGTGAGTCTCCTATTCTTCTTAGACCAACAGGGTGGCTAGCCAAGTGGGCAAGCTTCATACTTGTTGACGACCACTTGTATCTAGCAATTATACCCAGGAAAAAGGTTTACACAACCATTTATCAAAATTTAGTCAGAATAGTTACATCATGGTTTCCCATTTCTCAAGGCTGAATTTAGTCTTTGTAAGCAATTTGGACCTTTTGGATGGTGTCACTCTCCATCTTCCATCTAAACACCACAGCTAATGGCTCAGTTTTTTCATAGAGTGGTAACCTTTCACAGGCCCATAGTTCCCCTTCGTGCCTCTGCCCTAGCAGGATTTTTATTTTCCCACATGTACTCACAGCTCATGTCCTGACCCAGTGGTCCAATTCAGTTTTGAGGTTCCATGTCCTGTCTGATATGTCTCGCACTCATCTTTATCGCATGGCCATAGACCTTGCGGTAAATCCAGGACCTGGTTCTTTCAGATGTTCTCCACCACAGATAAGCCCATTACTTATTTTGTTTAATTGTACAGGGCAATCTCAATTCGGCGAACTATACAGCGCCATCCATATTAGTTAGAGTGTGGGATTTATTGTAACCATGATACTTTCTAGAGGCATTTGTGAGATGCAATTATTTGATTAAAGACAAGAAAAATGCATTGCTTCAGCTGTTTCTTCCTTCTAATGTTGCTTCCATTTACATTAATCATTAAAATATGATTTAAGCCATATTAAAATTGTTACACTTTTTGTGTAATACAGTGCTACATATACCCTAATATTTCCAATGCTCTACAGGCTAATTAAACTAAGCAAAATTTTGACAAGCCATGTAAAACAAGCATGCTCACCTTGGCATGCCATGTAAAACAAGCACACTAACTTTGGCATGCCATGGAAAACAAGAATGCATACCTCTGGTACACCCCAGCCAGCCAAAATGTTTGCCCCCCAACTAAGGGGTTCAGAAAGAGGGGCCAAAGACCTCTGACACCCCAAAAGTAAGGCCCCTACCCCAGTAGTTTGGCCTTAAAGAGCAAACTCTAAACACACCAGTGTCAGCCTGTCAGTGCAGGGGCAGTGCTAGGAAGCACATAAGAGAAGGTGGCCTTCACCTTCATGGTGGTTACAGAACAATACCATGCTAATGGCCCCCTGCAGGACAAAGTCCAAGAATGGCCAGCACTTAGCTGAGAAGCTGTGGGAGTAGCACAGCTGGTTGATGACCTAAGAACACTATTGTAGACAACTGATGGTGTCCACATCAGTGACAGAACTGGCTTGGAAGACTGGGAAAAACATGGGGTTGTGCCCCCACCCTACTGAGCTAGCAAACTTGCAATAGTTTAAAGAAATTCAATCATGTTTACATTGTTTAGGAAGTTCGTTTGGCAGTTTCGAGGCTTCAATTTCTCTGAACCCAGCAGTGGTCTGTATTGGTTCTCCAACTTTCTGGACGATTTCCTGGTGGGGTAGTGGAGTGTGTCCCCAGTTATTGTGCCTCTTACGAAGGGCCAGGTTCTAGCTCTGATCCCTGGTAGACGAAGAAGAAATAAGGGTCTGATGTTACCTAGTAGCTGGGAGCCATCCCTGTGAGATAGCTTCAGAGATCCACATAGGATTCCCACAGACAGACAGAATTATGAAGGAACTGTATAGGTCACCTCATTGGAAAATGGAATATAAAAAATATCCACAGAGGATCAAATTGACTCACCTTGTGACAAGAGAAGACAAAAGACGTGTAATATGAGAGTTGAGAGTAGGTAGCATATCAACGCCTCCGGGCGGTGTTATAGGTATTTTTGTTTGATGACGTTCACATTCCTTAATCTGATGCCGATTCAACCATATTATTTCTGCCAATGCCTCACACCTGAAAGGAAAATAAAGCCAGAAATAAATGTAATGAAATGCCATTTTCTGGGTGAGCCCCTTCGGCTCTCTGAAGCTATTGGACTGATATACGCTATATTAGTCTGCAGCATCATTCAATGGAGTTCAGCCTACTGGGGACCACGAGCTAGAACCTGGCCCCTTCAGAGGTACAGGGAGAGCACCCATAAAAAAAAAAGCACTAGTCAAAGGTTAAGTTTGAGTGAAACAAAAAGGGAGCGATGGCCCTGGAAACCCCCATGCGTTTGGGAGCATTCTATGTCTACCATCAAACGGGTTTAGGCACCTAGAATGGCAGGCATAAAAAAAAAACACTTGGAAAGAAATTGCAACCAAAGACCGAACAGAGACAGAACTCCCAAAAAACATAAGAAAACAAGCAAACATCATTCACTGCCGCTGTGCCACTTTATCCGCACAGCCCTCCCCTCCTTGGGAGAGGAAGGGAGGAGCCCCAGATCCCCGTGCCAGCTACTCACACCTCAGTTCAGAGGCTGAGCATCAAAAACAAAACCACTGACAGGATTGCCAGGGAGCCCAATGGGCTACAGAAAATAATATAGTATTTAATGAAGATAAGTTCCAGCTCTTGCGCTATAGAAAAAATGAAAATATAAAAGCAGAAACCCATACAATACACAGTCAAATCATAACAGAACAAAAAAAGCAATGTAAAGGATTTGGGTGTACTCATGTCGAAAGACCTTCTGTGTTAAAGAACACAAAAAAGTAGCCGTCACAACTGCAAGAAAAATGACAGGTTGGATAACAACTTTTCAAACTAAAGATGCTATAACAATGATGATACTTTTCTAGACGCAAGTGCTCTCTACAATGGAATACTGCTGCTCAGGACCGTTCACTCAGTGGACGGTCTATGCCGTCGACTCTTCCCCAGAGCCCCTTCAACGGGGCGACCCATGAAAAGGCCAACGCCCTTTAAGAGAAGACAGTTGACGAGCAGAGCGAGCATTGCGCTGAACAGAAGATGCCAGCTCCAAAGGATGCCCTGGCTCAGAAACTGGCACCAAAGGCCCACCCCAACTGGAAGAACCCCAAGCCCTGGCATGACCTGTCCAAGAGACACGAGAACAGCCGCCCTGGAGAACTAACAAATTCGACATAGGACGGCAACTAGACGAGGCCGCCTGCAGAATATGAGTGACAGCACTGTCTGCAAACAGCACTGCACGAAGGGCAACGAAAACCTAAGAGCCAAGGCCCAAGCAGATTCAAAGGGGAGAGCGAGCCAAACACATGGGGGTTTCTCAGCCAGTCCTCAAAAAATGGGGAGATAAATGTACACAGCCCCACAAGTGCAAATATGTACTATGTATGACAGTCAAGAATTGTACTTATTTACACTTAGTATTAAATCGTACTGTCAAATATATTATGAATATTTGAGTTTACCTAAAAAGCTGAATAGAAAACCACGACCTCACCTAACCATCTTAGTTTGTGAAGATAAGCATTTTATTGCATCTTAATTACAACTACTACTTGACCTATAGCTATATTGATATTATAGTTTTATAAAACAAATAAAACAAAACTAAAATATTTCAATAAATTGTAAAGTAACTCAAGATATTTTCAAATTTTCTATATAATCTCTATTGTTTAATAAAAGTGAAAAAGAAATTCCTAATATTTAAAACTTGTGTATAGCAACTGAACTTTAAAATTTCATCTTAAAATTTTAAGTGTCCTAACAGAAAACAAGGAGAATTAAATCGGGGGCAGGGGGGGGGGGGGTAAATGCAACAGCCCCATAAGTGCAATTATGTACTATGTATAAGTCAGGAAATGTACTTATTAGACTTGGTATCAAAATGTACAGTACTGTCAATTCGAAGGATGGGTTGGGGTTTCTATAGGTCACTGCTCCCTGTGCCTCTCTAAGGGGGACATGTTCTGGCTCGTGGTTAGTCTGATAGCTCAACGAAGCAGGAGGGGCTTCCCACAGAAAAGACCAGCAGGACTCAAATAATGGCAGTCCTATCCTTTTCATGTGTCCTTTCTTGGATATAACTATACAGTAGCACTTTTTGATGATCTGCTACATAGCCTCCACCTTTGAATTGCAATTTCAACAAATACTGCATTCACATTTTTATTTTCCTCAAACATATTTGTTACCTGGAGCATACCTGGTGAGGGTTTCAGGAATTCTTCTACTCCCTGAGGCCAGGCTTGACTTGCGTGATAACTTGGTCCAACAGGCTGTTACTTGATGTGGCCCACAGCCCCCCCCCCCCCATATGTTGCAACCCGTTCTCGCAAATTTAATAAGTCAATATTGACTTATTAGTTGCGTGCATAGGTGACATACTAAACATAATAGTTTCCCTTGAAAAGCTTCATAGAAAACACCGACCTTACCTAACCTACTTAGTATGTTAAAATAAGCATCTTATAGCTTCGTAATTACAATTGTTACTTAACCTATTATAGGTATAGGTTAGGTAATAATTGTAATTACGAAGCAATAAGATGCTTATCTTAACATACTAAGTAGGTTAGGTAAGGTCGGTGTTTTCTATGAAGCTTTTCAAGGGAAACTATTATGTTAAGTATGTCACCTTTGCACATATTTAATAAGTCAATATCGACTTATTAAATTTGCGAGAACGGGTTGTATATCCACCACAGCCCGGTTGGTCTGGCACTTCTTGCAAGAACTTGTCTAAGTGCCTTTTTAAGAATTTCCAATGCTTGCTGGGAGGGTATTGAATAGTCGTGAACCCTGATGTTCAGTGTTCTCTGATTATGCCCATGACACCTCAATTCCTCACTGGTTCTATTCTGCATTTTCTTCTGTATCTTTTGCTCCAGTATGATGCTATCCTACAGTGCAAATTTGGAACCTGGCCATCCATTATCTTCCATGTATATATTATTTGATACCTTTCTTGTCTCCTTTTCAAAGATTACATTTTGAACTTTGAGATGGTCCCAATAATTTAGGCGTTTTATCATTTCTATGCGTGTCATAGGTTCTCTGAATTCCTTCTAATTCACATTTCTCTCATGCTCTAAAAAGGGGAAGAGAGTACTGAGCAGTACTCAAGACAGGACAGCACCAGTAATTTAAACAGTATTAGCATTGCTGTGGAGTCTCTAGATTTGATCGCTCTCATTATCCATCCTATTTTTTTCCTGGCCACCTCTATATTTGCCGAGTTATGTTCACTAAATGTCAGGTTGTCAGACATCATAATTCCCAGATCTTTTACATGTTGCTTTCCTTCTGTGAATAAGTCTGATTGTATCTTGTAATCTGTATTTTATTTAAGTTCCTCATTTCCACCAAACCTAAGTACAGTACCTGGAACTTATCATTGTTAAACATCATATTTTCCGTTGCCCAATCGAAGACTAAATTAATATTGGCTTCCAAGTTTTTCAGTGTCTTCTACAGAAAAAATTTTCATGCTGATTTTTGCATCATCTGCAAAGAATGACAGGAAGCTGTAACTAGTATTTTTGACTATATTTGAGCAAAAAATGAGAAATAGCAGTGGTGCAAAGACTGTGCCCTGGGGTACAGAACTTTTAATTGCACTTGCTCTTATTTGACTGACTGTTACACACTGCATTCTGTTTGACAAAGTAGAAAATCCAACGCCTCACTTTACTCACTATTCCTATTGATCTCATTATCTCTTGTACAGGGTTCTGTCCCAATTCCATTTCCTCAGACTCACATCATCACTTCTGTGTCTATTTCTTCGATCTCCCAGTTTAGATTTATTTTTCTTTGTTGTAATAGTCGTGTTATTTTCCCCTTTTATTTTTTTTTTAATTTTTTTTTTTTTTTTTTTTTTTTTTTAATTCCTGTTACAAAGGACTTTGTCTGGCCCATGCAGCTTCTTTGTGATAACTATTATGAGGAGGGAATCCTGACAAACTCCAGAAAAATTTGAAATATTACAGTGCAAGGGAAGGGAAGTATCAGGAGAAAGTGCCAAGCCATTAAGACTATATACAGTATAGCACGTGGAGGGGATCAGGATAAGGATTTAGGATGAGATGAGGAGGGAAAGAATGGTGCCTAACCACTTGGATGGTCGGCGATTGAACACTGACCTGCATGAGGCGAGACCATTGCAACGATCTACAAACGGTCAGTGTTGACCGTTGTGTTGCAACGGTCAACGAGCCTAACAAGAAGATCACGGATATAGAAAATAAATGTGACTTGTCCATATATTACATCAATTATGCTATATACCTGCAGTAGTACCACAGATAAGCAACCACCACAACAGTACCCTACCAGATGTATAATGCTCCTCAAGAGTTGTCATAATACGCCTATGGCCAGAGTTAACTGTATTTAATTTAGTTTTGGGAGTGATTTAGCATATAAGTTTGAGAGGCTGAATAACTTCTTAAGTTGTTGTAAATGACTTGTGCAATATATTTGTATGATTATAACATTTGTAATTACATAATATATATATGTATGTCTGCATGGATAGATGATAGGATAGTCAGTAGCCTTTCAAATGATTTTTAATAAACGTATTACTGTACTGTATATCAAGCTGAAAATCACAAGTTTTACAGTGGCTTCGATCATGATGATACAGTATTTAATAAATCTTTTAATAAATCTATCACATTACACTTGCCATTCTTGTATCTGATCAAGTTTATTTTGGTTAAATGGTTTTCCGTTCCCTGCCATTTGTTGTTCCCGTTTCCAGTTAATGAGTTCTTCATCAAGAATCCGCTGCTGAAGACTGTTTAGGCGATCGATGGTTCCCTTGTGCTTCTCTGCCAGGTCCATGCGTCGCTGCAGCAATCCCGACACCTGATAACAACAATATCCTCTCATGATAACAATCTTGCACATGTGTGTACTGTACTTCAATATCACACTCGCATTTTCATACTCAAAAGAAAACCTACAAATACAAAAACTGAAGAGCAAATAAAACTTTCGCAATTCTGAGATGGGGTCATGGGGAACATAAGTAAAATGTGGGAATAATGATTAGAGGCTAAAATTGAGTGAGAAATTTACACTTCTGCGCCCCCGGCATGCACGCCGCCAATTTAGAGGTCACGCCCCCATCGTACGGGCGAGCGCCATTCTCAAGTCGATTGTCACACAATCGACTTGAGAATGGTCCAGGACGGACCGAAACGTCGTCGTCCCTTCACCTTCTAGTGTGTGGTCTGTTCAACATACTTTAGTAATATAGTATATCATTGGAGAGAGATACAAGTTATTTTATACTTTACTCGTGTAAAAATCTTTAAATAAAATTAAATTAAGCATTTAACTTGAGAAACCATGAAACAGATTGCCTTTGTCACTGGACAATCTCGAGACCTCAGAGCTTTATACCATATAGAAAATAGTGGGGAAATGCAGCACTCAAAATCAAAAGTTTTCTCGGTACAATATTAAAAGTGCAAGGTTTACAGAAAGTGATTTTCTATTATGTATTGCAACTAAAGTCTCTCAAGTCATATACTAACTACAAAAATTTCTTCAGAACAAAATATACAGCACAATGTGTACCTTCTGAGCCAACTGTTGTTCACCAATTTCTTTTCGCCTCCTCAAGTTCTGTTCCACTTCTCGATTCTGCGCCGTTCTTTCTTGACCTTGAATGTGAGATAGATGAGCTGGAAAAAATAAGTAAAGCATCATAATACTAGTCCATTCTTTTATTCAATGATTCAGAGCTGCTTGGAACCCTTGAGGTTTCAAGTAGTTATCTGAACTGCTAGCAGTTCTGCAGCAGTTGAACTAGCAATTCAGATAATTGAACTGATAACGGTTCAATTACCTGAACTGCTTGGTTGCAATCGACACCTTATCAAATATGTCCCTGTAACCTAATGTAAAATCCGGATACAGTAGTTAAAACTTGAACAACTAAATCTAGATAATGAAAATAACCTATTATGTAAGAAATTATAGTTAAATTTTAATACAAATAACTTTCTTAGGTGGGCAAAGATTGGTGACTTAACCTTGAATCTAATCCTTAGATTGGTTTGAAAGCATTGCTTCATATTACTAAAGTAAAGTGCTATACAGTGGTACCTCGGTTTAAGAGTTTAATCCGTTCCTGGAGACAGCTCGTATTCCGAAGCTAATTTCTCCAGAAGAAATAATGGGAAATGAATTAATCCGTTCCTGACTACCCCAAAAACCCCACATCAAACTAAATTTTATACCTAATTCATCTAAATAAACCTACAAAACTATGTTCAAGTTATTATTTACCCTTGTTGTTGAATGCTGTAGGCGTATGGAATATGGTGAGGAGGGGGGAGGAGGAGAGGTGTTACTGTTTGGAAGGCGAGTCCCCTTCCATTATCACATCAGGCAGTGAGGACCTTTCTGGTGTGCACTTCCTGGCACGTTTTGCCCGAGTACCACTAGGTCCTGGTTGTGGCTCACTGCTCGATTTTCTCACAAATCTGTCCATGGAAGCTTGTTTTTCCCTTCTTCGCAAGCTGTCTCTGTAGTAAGGCATCACATTGTCATTGAAAAGATTAAGGCAACGGCCTACTACAGCTTTCTCTGGGCGAGTCTTTTCAATAAAAGTTTGAATCTCTTCCCACATCTGACACACATTCTTAATTTCTGCAGAAGGGACATTCGCTACTGCCTCATCCTCCTCCACTTGAGAATCATCAGCTGCGTCGTCTTGCTGTTCCTTTTGAAGGGCTTTTGAGTTCTTCGGTGGTCAGTTCTTCGTTGTGTTCTTCCACCAACTCCTCCACATCACCATCCAATTCCAAGCCCATTTGCCAGCCCAGAGTAACAATTTCCTCAACAATAGGCACATCATTTACAGGCTCAAACCCCTCAAAGTCTAGTTCTGTCACACATTCAGGCCACAATTTTCTCCAGCCAGAGATCAGGGTTCTTTGAGTCACTTCTTGCCAGGCTTTGTCAATGAGTTTTAAAGCACTACAAATGTTAAAATGGTCTTTCCAGAACTCTTTGAGAGTGAGGTTTGTGTCACTTCAAAACATTTCCAGAAAAGTGCTCTTTCATACAGTTTCTGAAAATTCGCTATGATTTTCTGGTCCATAGGCTGAATTAGAGGAGTGGTGTTAGGAGGAAGGAACTTTATTGTGAGAAATTTACCGTATCTGTGCATCAATTCATCTTCCAATCCTGGAGGATGAGCAGGAGCATTGTCGAGGAGAAGCATGGCCTTGAGTGGCAAATTTTTCTTCTGCAGATATTTTTCTATGGTAGGGCACAGCACTTCATTCACCCACTCCGAAAAAATAAGCCTAGTCACCCATGTTTTTTTATTAGACTTCCATATCACACACATTTGGGTTTTCTGCACTTTATACTGTTTGAAAACCCTTGGATTTTCAGAATGATACACTAGTAAGGGTTTAATTTTCAAATCGCCACTCGCATTTGAACACAGCACAAGCGTAAACCTATCTTGTGTCCGGGCAAGGATTTTCCTCCTTGGTAATGTATGTCCTCTTAGGCAATCTTTTCCAAAACAGTCCTGTTTCGTCACAATTAAACACTTGTTGCGGTAGGTATCCCTCAGCCTCTGCAAACTCTTTAAATTCTTCAATAAATCGTTCAGTGGCTGGTTTGTCTGAGCTGGCTGCCTCCCAACATTATGGATACCACTTCTTTTTCTAAATTTTTCAAACCATCCCCTGCTTGCCTTAAACTTTTTCGTATCTGCATCACTCGTTCCAGGGGTTTTCTTTACAAGGTCTTCGTGCAATACCCTGGCTTTCTCACAAATGATGGCCTACGAAACACTATCACCCCTTAATTCCTTGTCGTGTAACCAAATTAATAACAACTTTTCCACTTCTTCAAGTATTTGTGGTCTTTGTTTTGTCATTGTTCTTATGCCTTTTGCCACTTTAGCACTCAATCTCATTTTTCTTCTTAAGTATAGTGCATATTGTTGATGTGACTTTGTTGTACTGCCTACAAAGTTCAATAACACGTGTACCATTTTCACACTTCCGAATGATCTCGTTTCTCCTCTATTGTCATCCTCACATGGGCTTGCCTTGATCCTTACCACTGGCTTTCTTGGGACCCATGGCGAGATATATAATAACAATTTTTATGGTCAAATGACCAAAAATCGAACAAAACACAGAAAATCTGGGTGAAGAATTGGCGTGGGATAGTCACTGGGCGCGAGGCACTGGTAAACTGAGGGGCGGAGGGGCAACGATCGCAGTACCACCACACGCTAGGTCGGCCTGTACGCGTATCAACAAACTCGTGTTCCAAGGTAACCCTCGCCTTCCGAGGCACATTTTCCGTGGAAATCTGGCTCGTATTCCAAAAAACTTGTATACAGGGACACTCGTATTCCGAGGTACCATTGTACATTAACCTGAAATGATTTATGTAGCAGAAGGAAAACACACACTACTCACCATTAATTTTTGCACAATCGTGATACTGTAGGGCAAATGATTCCTGTTCCTGTTCCAGATGTCTCAATTCATCTGCCGTTTCACGAGTTCGCCGAAGTAATATTTCGAGTTCACTAACTATTTCTGCACATGGTTCAACAACCATGTTGGCTACATGGGCAACACCTCCCAACATCTGAGGATAAAAAAGATTACATTGAGAAAAATAGCAGACCTTAAAGCACATTTTATTTTCAATACATTTGTAAAAGTATTACAAAACCTGACACCAGCCAATTTCCTATATTTAAAAACCCAGATACTATATGAGTGTATGCATAAACATCTCTTGCTTTACATGGAGGAACCAGCAGTAAAGCAAGGTATTCGTGTCACCAACACTGCGACAACAAACCTCATCAGAGATGGTCTTTAAACAAGAACTCCTTGAGAGGTCTTTGAGAGCCAACTATTGACAATATAGCAATATTGTATTTGCAACAGTGCTGAATAAATAAAATAAAATGTAAACATTTATTAGCTAATGAGGATTATGAGATAAACATGTATACCACTGATACATTATTAGTGACATTATGTTGGAATACATTTTTTATAAGTATTTGTGCAGACTCTCAAAAACATCACAGTACAAGATGTACAGCTGCTTTAAAACAAGAGCTCAGAAAGTTTTATAAACAGGATAGTCTTAAAGAGTAGGCAGGTATGATTAACTTCCAAAGTGCAGTCCAACAGGCATTGCTTTGATTCAATTTGTAAATTCAAACAACATGGATACTTTAAATGTGAACAGTATAAGAGTGAAATACTCAATCCCAATCAAATAAATTTTTAAAGAGCTAGTGAATTACATTCTGTGCAAACCATAACAGTTAATCACCACGTTACAAAACAGGTAATAATAGATAATTGTACTTACGTTTTCGTGTTGCTGAACCAAGTGAAGTTCTGTTTTGAGGCACTCACGTATAATGGACACTAAAGCAAGTGGATTACTATTCAGGTACCGTGTCTGCAATAAGTAGGTCAATTTTAATCCTTAAGTCAACATTACACAAATCCACAAACATATTGTATTAAAAACCTTTTAATTTGACAAAATAAAAATAAATATACAGTGGACCCTAGGTATTCAGACAATTGGTTCCTGAAGGTGGGACAAATGTCAAAAAGTGCAAATACTGAAAAAAAACAAAATTCCCATACGGAATAAAGTAAATTGGATTAATCCGTTCCAGACCACAAAATAAATATATTTATACAATAAATAAATGAAATAAGTGCTAACACAGTACGCATTTTACCTGCACTTAAAGAGTTGATGGCATATGTGAAAAATGGTGAGGCACAGGAAGAGAGGTTATTCTTTGGCAGTGGAGTTCCCTGCCATTATAACTTCTGGTAGTTGTGCTCCTGGGGTTATTCCTTTTTTCTGTTTCCCTCATTACACTCAGTGGATGCTTTTCTTACAAGAAACTTGTCCAAGGATGTTTGCTTTTGCTTGCACTTTAAAATGTTTCTAAAGTGAGACCTGGTTGGTAAATGATTTGGCGGGCCATATTTCGGGGAAAAATTAGAATTACCTGGTTGATACCTGGTTGATGGGGTTCTGGGAGTTGTTCTACTCCCCAAACCCGGCCCGAGGCCAGGCTTGATTTGTGAGAGTTTGGTCCACTAGGCTGTTGCTTGGAGCGGCCCGCAGACCCACATACCCACCACAGCCCGGTTGGTCCGGCACTCCTTGGAGGAATAAATCTAGTTTCCTCTTGAAGATGTCCACGGTTGTTCCGGCAATATTTCTTATGCTCGCTAGGAGGGTATTTAACAATCGTGGACCTCTGATGTTTATACAGTGTTCTCTGATTGTGCCTATGGCACCTCTGCTCTTCACTGGTTCTATTCTGCAGTTTCTTCCATATCGTTCACTCCAATACGTTGTTATTTTACTGTGTAGATTTGGGTCCTGGCCCTCCAGTATCTTCCACGTGTATATTATTTGATATCTCTCGTCTTCTTTCTAGCGAGTACATTTAGAGGGCTTCGAGACTATCCCATTAATTTAGGTGCTTTATCGCGTCTATGCGTGCCATATATGTTCTCTGTATTCCCTCTATTTCAGCAATCTCTCCTGCTCTGAAGGCAAGAGCGAGTACCGAGCAGTACTCAAGACGGGACAACACAAGTGACTTGAAGAGTACAACCATTGTGATGGGATCCCTGGATTTGAAAGTTCTTGTAATTCATCCGATCATTTTTCTCGCCGAGTCCTGTTTGACAGAAAACTGAGTATTCAGCATCCTACTTTACCGGTTATTCCCATTGACTTCATTTACGGTCCTCTCGTTTTTCTGGCTAAAAATGGAGCAGCTGGTTTCTGGAGGGATCCTTTGTTATTTGATACTTTGATTTAATTTGATGTACTCCCAGGTTTGCCCAGGAGTAGTACACCAATTATTGTCTTGTTGCAGTCATTCTCTGTTTTCTGCACCACTAGTAGTGCAGTGGCTGAAACTGTTTATACACCCAGTATCCCTGGCTCCTTGTTCAATAGATCATTTGTCTTAGGTTGTCTTCAATGTCCTCAATTAGCCAGCCTGTGTTCTACCCTGAGGGAAGGGGCCAGGTTTCGGCCTCTGGTCCCCATACGACGACTCAAGTGCCTGGCATGGATTGAAATGGGTGGAGCTATCCAGGAAACCTCCAAGGTTTCCCACCAGAAAAGGGTGTTCACTACATTCAATGCCAGTTTCTTTGCAGCATTATTTTGATATTGAGGTTTTTGTAAATGCTAAATGATGCAGGAAAGCATTCACAGGAGGACACTGTTCACTGCTTTAGTACCCAAAGAGCCATAATGGGAGACAAAACATTCTTCAGCTCCTGGCCTTTTAGCATCATAAGTTATCTGATGTCTTACAGAATGATGCTCTGTAACACACACAGTATACACATCACTAAATCACCATGAAGGTAAATATGATTTTTTTCCCCCTTTTGTATGCAGATTTACAATTTTTAAAAAATTCTAGTGAAAACAGTTTGGCAAGTGTATAAAAAGAACCATAGCCACAGATTTATAGGTTACTATCCTCTACATCGTTGACTTAAAATTAGTGATAAGAGTAGGAAATGTGAAATCGGCACGAATGATGTAGCATATAAAGTCTGTAAAGTATACTGTATATGCAAAGGATCTTTTTAATTCATCCTTCACATATAGTAATATGAACCACAAAACTTGAATACCTGTCCCAAAGTTAATACACTTTTCACTTAGGTACTTCAGTAAGCCTAACTCTTGACCTTTACACACATCAGCAGTGTTGTAACAAGGCAGCCTACACACAGGCAATAAAGCGTACACAGAGCACAGCAGGTATCCGCATATCACCAGCACAGGAAGCATTTGAGATAAAAGCTCACCACACAACACTACAGTACATCTCTCTCAAACTTACATCTATGAAGAGCCAGTGAAAACAGGCATTTAATAACTAAAACACCCCTTATGTCATATTTCACCATTTGTATGTAAAACAAAGAATAAAGTTCTCCAAAACAACACATGTTCTTCTTTTTTTTAAGTCTTTTATATGCCCTTGAAACTGTGAGTCATCAGAGAGCCCGCCCATTAAATGCATTACATGCTGGACCATGTAAATTTATCAATCATTATGTGATGTACCAAATTCAATAAGGAAAACAAATAAAAAAAAAGAAAAATTTAAAAAGTTCAATAAACCTCTTCAAATAATTAACATGTGAATGATAAAGAATCAAATGACATGATTGAAATGCATGCCATCTACACTACTCTATCTACTTTTTCCATATTACTTATATTTCCAGCAATATATATTTAACTTATATTATATTACAGCAACTTATATTTAAAGCAAAAGGAGTACATTTGATGGAGAAAATTTATAAAAGAAACATCAGAATAATAAACAAGATGATTTGTCTTGCATGAAAAAAAGCAGCGTTGAATGTAATGAAACACCATTTTCTGGGCAAGACCCGGAGGCTCCCTGGAGCTATGCCGGGCTAATGTGTATATATTAGACCGTGGCAACAGTCAATCGAAGCAGTTCTAAGCCTACTGAGGACCAGAGCCAGATCCTAGCCCCCTCAAGGGAGGCATGAGGAACAATGGCCTAAAGACATTCCCGTGTAATTGGAAGCAGTCTAGTCTGCCATCTACCAGGTCAGGCACCCAGAAAGGTAGGAATCTCGAAACAAACTACTGCTGGTCAAAAACTGCAATCCGAAAGTCGAACTAGCGAACAGAACTCCCCAATTAAAAACAAGGAAACAAACATGATGTTATCTTGAGATGATTTCAGGGCTTAGCATCCACGCGGCCCAGTCCTCGACCAGGCCTCCTTTTTGTTAAACACCCCAGGAAGCAGCCCATAGCAGCTGTCTAACTCCCAGGTACCTATTTACTGCTAGGTAACAGGTGAATCAGGGTGAAAGAAACTTTTTGCCCGTTTGTCTCCGCCTCCGCCGGGGATCAAACCCGGAACCTCAGGACTACGAATCCGAAGCGCTGTCCACTCAGCTGCCAGGCGCCCCTTCAACTGCCCGCAGTTGTGGGTTGCAGAGAGCAACACGTCACCCACAACTGCCGCGCATCCGTCTGAGCAAACCCTCCGCTCCCCGGGAGGGGGACCGGGGGGTCCCAGACCTCCACGCCGGCAACTCTCCTCAGTTCAGAGGTCGAGTATCAAAAACGCAAAAAAAATGCTGACCGGGAGGGAGGGAGGCCGGGGAGCCTCCAGGTCTCACCCAGAAAATGGCATTTCATTACGTTCAGTGCTGGTTTTCTGTCGAGAATCCCTTTAGCTTCCCGGAGCTACCTAACCAAAGATAAGAAGAAAAGGGACTCACCCGGGAGGCGGTCGTCACTTGCGCCTTAACTCAAAGTCGAGACAACATGCTGCAACCTACGACCCAAGGCTATACATGCCCGAGAAGGACTAGGAACATTAGCAAGGCACATGCAGCCAGGACCCTGTTCGACCTCCAATAGCCCCGTGCCCAAAAGATAGGCCAGGATATTGCCAAAACAGCATGTGAATGCCGAACTTACGAATGGCATGGGCACAGGGAAAGGCCGCAGGCAGGCTGGACCGAATAATCCTGCGGACAACCTAGGAGACCTGCGCCCCGGAATAGAGAAGAAGAGGAAACTGGGTCAACCCAAAGCGCATCCATTGCCACAGAGGCTGTAACGCACAAATAATGGCGAAGAGCCACAAACAGACACGAAACATGATGCACCCCTGGACGAACCAACATCAACAACCCAAGGACCCCTCCGGAAAGCAGACTCATTCTTCGCCAGAAAAGAAGGAGATGGCTGCAAACGAAGAAAAGACTACCAGGACTGAAAGAGCAGAAACCCCTGCGCCAGAAGACAGCATAAAACTCTTCGACCCGACCCCAGAGGCCAATGCCAACAAGAAAAAAAAAAAGAGCCGTAGAAAACAGTCCTGAACCGAGGGGGCCACCCCATACCGAGGAGAAGGGAGCAGAGAGCACCCGGTGCAACGACCAGGACAGCTCAGGCCGCACATGAGCAGGCCAGAGGTGAACAACGCCCGAGAAACCTTGCAGAACGGTGCAGAAGTGACATCCACCCCAAATGCAAGCTGCAGCGGACATTTTTCTTTCTTTAAATTTGTTCAATATTTTTTTTAATTTGTCTTATAGCAAAGGTTCATTCAGTGTTCGGCAGGTAGGCTGCTCCACGTTTCTTAAATAAAAAAAATGAAAAATAAAAAAGCAGTTGAAACAATTTGAAAAACATACGAATGCCATAAAGGTTTGTTCAGTGTTTGTCGGATAGGCTGCTCCATTATGACAATCTTTCTTTGTTTCAAATGTGTTCCATTTGTTTTGTATTTTTCATTTACGTCTCAACAATGGAGCAGCCTACCCGACAAACACTGAATAAACCTTTATGGCATTTGTCCGTTTTTCAAATTGTTAAACTGTTTATTATTTTTCTTTTTTTTTATTCAAGAAACATGGAGCAAATCCACAAGGGCCGTGACAAGGATTCGAACCTGCGTCCGGGAGCATCCCAGATGCTGCCTTAATCGACTGAGCTACGACATGGTAAAAGAGTTGAAACCGAAGTTCTACTGAACTTACTGGATCCCACAGCCTCTCCGAGACACAAACCAGGGTTTTACACAACTCCTCTATGTTATTGTGTTTTGTGTGTGTAAACATGGAGCAGCCTATCTGCCAAACACCAGACGTACCTTTTTGACATTTGTTGTACAGTATTTCAAAAAATTTCATTTCTTTTTTCTACCAAAAAGTCATTGCTTTGCAACATCTCAGCAGTCACCTCTTTATATCCCAGCATCTTTAAACAAAAACAACATAATTTATTTGCATCGTCGGAGGCGTCCGAGAATGTGCGAGAAGCAGCTCGACCCCACCATGTCGTCTTGTCATTCAAACGAGCGGTCGCCATACAAGACGAATTGTCAGCGATCATTACCCAAAATGCTCGCCATTTGAGGCAATCGTCACTTGAGGTTCTACTGTATGTGTAATTGGTATTTTATTCTTCTTAATTCACACTAATGTAGCAACATACAATCTGCCCCTCATAATAAAGTTTAAAACGTCAATTCCTAGTAATATTGTACAGTATATGCTTAAAACCTT